CAGAAAGGCCACCATGAATCGGGCCCCACGTGCCACGGAGGCCTCCACAATCCACAAATCACCCATGGGCAAACCCCCACACAGCCCTCTACTTTATTTTCATGTTACTACATCAGTACCTGACATTCTTTGTTCATTGCATTTCTGTCCATCCCCTCAGAATGGAGGCTCTCGGAGACCAGGGGATATGGCACGGCCCTCCCAGGTACAAGAAGAAGGGGGAGGCAACCCAACATCTCTGGGGTGGGGAACAGAATCTAGGTGTGGATGAGTCCATGCCTGGGTGCAGCCTGAACTAAGCCGGCCTTGGCCAATGCTCCCACAGCCTTAATCTACAGGTCCCAGGGTCTGCTAGGACACACCCGACACTCCCTGCATGGTGCCAGGCCTGGGGCCTGGAAGGAAAGCCAGCCCTTACACCCCTGTTCTCACATCCAACTTCCTAAGGAGGTTCCCTGCACCACCTACTGGCCCATTAGACAACCCCCCGCTTCCACCCCCAGCTCTGGGGGGCACAAATACCTCCTCCAGAAGGTCCCTGTGAACATAGTCTCCCTGAAGGGTAGGAGGGCTGGCTGAGGTGCCGGAATGTTCCTAAGGATACAATAGTAGGGAGTCATCTCAGGCTCTGACTCGGGCCTTCTCACTTTATAGTGAGGTGGAGGAGGGCTGGGGAGGGGTTCTAAAATCCTTCTATGAGTATAGAGCTGACATCGTCATTACCAACCTTGGACCTTGGGCAAAGCATGCCTCATTTGTTTCCTCATTTGTAAATAGGGAATAATACTGGTGCCTACTTCATAGGACAGTTGTGTTCTGGACCCTTGTTTCCCTTCTGCAGCCAAGCAGGCTGCTTTGCTGACCAGACCCAGGGCCATGCCTGTCTGTCCTGGGCTATGTGCATTCCTTCCTACACGTTCCTCCCCATACTGCCCCTCTCCAGGCTCCCATCCCCATCTCCTGGAACACCCAGGGAGTGGAATTTTCTTTGCTGTTCTCCAGTGCTTTCCCATCCATGAGCTCACTTCTCTGAACACAGAGAAACTTGACTACCATACGCCTCCTGGACCGCGTTGTCTCCTACACCCACCCCCAGCTGCTGAGCTCTTCAGCTGGTCCCTCTCACTCTGCAGAGAGCCCCTCGTCCTTGAAACGCCCTTGTCCCAGGGTCCATGAAGGCACTCCTTCAGCGTCCTCCCCTATGCCCCTGTCTGCTCCTGCCTTTTCCTGATGCCTTTCCTTCCTCCCACAATGACCTCATCCCTTCCTTGGCTTTAGCTCCCCCCATGCACCAAAGGTTCCACATCTCCAGCCAAAACCTCTCCCCCAAGTCTGAGACTCAGACATCTAACGGTTTAGGTAACATCCCTTAAGAGTCACTAATGCCTCGGACATGAAGGGCACAGGGAGGGCTTAATACAACAAGGCAAGCAGTCACCAGCATGATGACTGGCCTAGGCGACGGTTGGCAAGTGGTCACTAGTATTATTCTTTGCAATTTTCATTTCAAAATTAGCACCGTTTTAATAGGCAGAAACATGAGTTTAAAAAGAGCAGGCAAAACTCTCTCCCAGGGATTGAAGGGAGGCTTGAAGTTCTTTCTTCAACCTCTGGGGTTAGCAGGTGGAAACTCCACACCAATCACTGCGGGCCAGCCATTCTAGAAACAAGTTCCTGAACTCTACCTCTAAGTCCCCTAATTAATTAATTAGCGTTCCAGCTATTACTCCTGTTGACAACCTTGGTGGCTCTTGGCAAGGTTGGGTCAGCCCAAGCAAGTCCAGACGTATTGTGGCAAATCCCACCGGCTTCTGGGATGTGAGACATGATCCCCATAAGGCAGGAGCGCTACCTTGTTAGAGAGAATTAATTGGGAGGATGAATGGGGGAAACAAGGTCCTCTCACCAATGGGCTGATGGCCTCTGTGCCATAGGTCACAGGCCTCAAAATACCCAATAAGGCCCAGACAGGCCTGCATCCTGGTAGAGCTGATGTAGGTGAGGAAGGGGCGCTGGAGCCCACAACCCTGCCCTCCTTTCTCAGAGAATGCACTTCTCAGGCAATGATGACGTTCTTCCCAGCCTAGAGAAAAGGCTTGGGTTTCAATGAGAGGGACTCTGGTTAGACACTCAGAAGAACTAATTTCTGTGCCTAGTTGAGGCAGGCATGAGCGAAGAGAGGAGCCCGGACCTTGACAGGGAGCCTCTGTGAGGCCAGGCCTGCTCCCAGAGACCCCTTCCTACAGCCACAGCCAGCGGCTCAGGTGGGCGGACTGGGGCCATCTCTCCACTGTTAACCTCAGAGGAACACCTGCTGAAGGCCCACAGCACTCAGAGACTCTCCCCCACCCCCAGGCCCCCCAAGGGTGCCCCCCTAGCTCCCTCCTCTCTCCACTAGCCCAGGACAGACAAAGCGGTTGAGGGAGAAGAGAAAATCCTGTAGAACAAACAAGATGTCGCATTTCCCCCAGAGCTCTGGCTTGAGATTGGGTCTCTGGGGTTTCCTGTCATATCAGCCCCTGACTTTGGGCTGGTGCCTGGGCTGCTCTGGGCCTCCATTTCCCCAGCAGACCCAGGAAGATGGTAAGCTGGATGACCCTGAGCGATCCTTCCACCGTGTGAGTCCCCGATTTGGTACCATGAGGCTTCTCTGCCTGGGGTCCCTCCCCATGCAGTCAGGTAGAGCTCTGAGGCCCACCTGAAGCTTCTGAGCACCGTGGGGCCTCCAGGCCCCTCTGACCCTCACCTAGGCCAGCACACTCTGCCTGGCTGTACAGAGAGATGCCACCACCTGGGGGAGTGCTGGGCACAGTCCTTCTAAGACTGGGATGCCAAGACCACCAGGAAGTGCCTCCCCTCCCATCTTCCCAACTTCCAGGCAGTCTGGAGCCCTTGGCTCCCTTCAGAGTCCCCTCACATCAGGTAACAGCTCTTCAGCTGTCAAGGGGGAAGAGGTACCCCTGGCTTCCCGGGAAGGCTGGGCTCTGTGGGCCTGAAGGCTCTCCCAGCACATATCACACCCCAGGCTCCCCACCCGAGGGTGCCTTGGCCTGGTGTCAGTTTCCTGCTAAATCTCAAGGGCTCAGTAGAGGGAAGTGACTCCCGTCCTCACCTTCCCAGGACCTCGGGGCCTGGAGGCTGGCTTACCACTTCCTCCTCAGGACCCTGGGTCTTTAGGCCCCACAATCCAGGCCCCTCATTTTCACGTTTCCGACTTCCCTCCAGGAACCTGCCCCCCATCAAACCTGGCTTTCCCCACTCAGCTTACTCGCCCATTATCACCCTCACCCAGCTAAGATTCTGGGGCTCACCGCTCCACCCAACGGCTTACTCCTCGAATGCCCCATCCAGCCGGATGAAACCTGCTGGGTGAACCCTATGACTCTTGTAGCCCCCAGCATCTCTAGAGAGACAGGCCCTGGCCACGCCCACAGCCCTGTGTCCTCCCTCAGCCATCCCCTCCACAGACCCCTTGCACAGCCTACCAGGGTCCTCTGACTTCCTTGGTCAGCTCTCTCTCCCATTCTCCCCTCTGAATGTCTCCATGTCCCAAACCGCACCCCCTTCTCCACCCTCGTCCTTCTCTGCTTGGTCCTGAGCACAAAGAAGCCATCAGAACAGCTTCCTTAACCTCCCCACCCCCCAAACACTGTCTCCAACATGTACACAAGCTCCAGTCTCTCTGTTTAAAAAAGTCAAAAATAAGCAAATAAAAGCCTCTCTTGATCCCACCTCTTGTTGCTGCTGCAGGTCTGTTTCTCTGTTTTCTCTTGGGGCGCCAAGCCTCTGGCCAGAGGGGTCAGTCCTACACCCCATTTCCTCACCCCTCAGCTGGGTCCACCCCTGGAGAGAGGGTTTACCTTCATCGCCCCAGACTCCAACGGACACTCCTCAGCTTGGTGGAGTTCAGCCTAGCATGAGTGTCTGCCCTGCGCACGGCCCACCTCCTACTGGCCCATCTTAGCTCTGGCCTCACCACCTTGGCCTCCGGTCCTTGGACACCACCCCTCCCAAGACCTCTTCTCTCCACGTGCTCCCTGCTGCCGTGACTGTTTTCAGGCCGGTGGCCTTACTCTCCTCCCTCTAGCCCGGGTCTCTCTCCTGGATTCCAGACCCAGAGCCAACTTCCCATAGGACAGCCCCATTCGCACATTCCACGGGCTCCTCGGAGCCCCCGCATCCGTCCAACTGGACATGCCATCCTCCCTCAAACCGCCCCTCCTCGTGTCTCCATCTCGTTCAGTAGTGCCTACGTCTGCCCCCTCGCTCAAAAGCAGCGAGCTGGACGTGCCAGCCCCCTCCCCCTCCCCCATCTGAGCTCCTCACAATCCTTCCTCTCCCTTCAAGGACCCACTTCTCGATGCCCACTGCCAGCAGCCTGGTCCAAGCCGCCACCATCTCTTGCTGGATACCTGCCAGCGCCTCCTGATGGCTCCTTCTCCTCCAGAGCTCCAGCCAGGCTCATAGTCAGGAATCTGCAGTCCTCCATTGCCTAGCCTTTCAGAGGACACCTGCCTTCTCGGCTTCGGCCTCCCAGTGCCCAGTTCCAACTGCCGTGGCCCGCCTCACTCTGCTCACTCTCTGCTTGTGAGGCAGGTTTTCCTCGGCTCTATGCTGTGTCCTGCCCCTGCTGAGAACTTTTACCCTAGTTGATGCAGTCCAACGTGTCCCCTCTGGCCAACTCCAGCTTATCCTCCAGGCCCCATGAAACGCCATTTCCCTCCAGGCTGGGTCTGGGGCCCTCTACTCTGTCCTCCCACATCCAGCTGGACTCATCCCCTCCTCGTCCTTGCCCTTCATTTGCTAGTCCCTGTTTAGTTGTCATGTTCACCACTTGGCCCTGGGCTCAGGAGAGGTCAGAGCCTGGACTTGCCTCATTTGTGGTTCTAACCCCGGTGCCTAGCTCTGGGCTAAGGAGCTGGACTTGAATAAGTGCCTGTTAATAAACACTGCACCCCTCCCTGCCTTGCCCTCCCCACACCCACCCTCCCTGCACTGACCTCTGACATCTGCGGGAAGAGGCTGATGGCCAGCGGCAGGGCCAGGCCGAAGGCCGCCAGGCACACAAGGCTTTGCACGGGGAGGAGGAGCCGGGGCCGTGCCTGCAGGAGAGCTGTCCTGTGGGGAAGAGAGGAGGGAGCGCCATGAGACCAGAAGACAGGCTGAGCTGGCTGCCAGCCACCGTGCAGTGTCCCACTCAGAGTCCCAGGGCCCGGGCAGCATCGTCCTGGGCCAGTGCCAGTCTGTATGTAGCTAAATAGTTGTGGAATTCTGTCTTTGGGGCCTTCTCCAGTTGGCACCCTTTTTCCCAGGCCCCCTCCTGAAGGACATTGCTGCTTGAACTCTCAATCACACATCATAAGTGAGTACTTGGGGGGCAACCATTGCACCCTGTGTCCAGCCCTGTGCAAAGAAGGCCACATGTGGGGGAGACACAAGAGGAGGCTGTCAGTCCCCACCCCTGGGGAGATTTACAACAGAGAAAGATGGTCCTCAAGGGCAGGGCATAAGAAAATACTGAACATGCCAGAGTAGAAGCCAGGTCCAGGGTAGGAGACATATGGCACCCACATGCCTGCACACACATATATACACACACGGGGACACATGCATGAGCACGCACACACGTACACACATAGCCAAGTACGGGAACAGAATACACCCCACTGACCACCTGGTCTGGTTTTATCCAAAAGCCACAGAGAAGGGCAGTGACTGGCCCAGGGTCATAGCCACATCTGCAGCAGGCAGGCCGGGCTGCCCAAGGTCACGGCCATGTCTGCAGGAGGCAGGCTGGGCTGCTGCCCAAGGTCATGGCCACATCTGCAGGAGGCAGGCCAGGCTCCCAAGGTCATGGCCACGGTTTCCAGGAGGCAGGCCGGGCTGCTGCCTGGGCTTTTGACTCCCTGCGAGTGCTATCACTCTGCGCCGCCCCCAGCTCTTGCCCTCAGAACCCTTCACCAAGGTCATGGCCAGCGTGTCACAGCAGGCCCCCATCCCCCACAACAGGATTCCCGGGAGGGAGGAGTATATGGAAAGCCTCCCTCCAGGCCCTGGAGTAGCTGTGCCAGCAGGACGGGTGACGGGACTCTTTGCTAGGGGATGTTGGGTGAGCACTACATCTGACCTCAATAACTGTTGTCCTCCGCATGCCTGGGACCGGCTTCCTGGGATGGAGAGGATGTAATCAGGCTCTGGCCCTCTCCTGTTGCAACAGGGCTGGCTGTGGTTACAGGCAGGTGAGAGACCCCCTGGGGGGGGGCAAGGCCTCAGTGGGTGGGGGCAGGCAAACCCCACCCCGCCTTCACCTCCTGGGACAAGAATCCCGAGAGCAGCTGGCCCTGAGCAGACAGCAAAATTGAGAGCCACCGTTCTCAAACTTTGGTGTCTAGGCACCTGCTTCACGAGGCAGACCCCCAAGGGCCCCCTACCCCGATGAGATCTCCATTTTGTTGGTGCTATGACTGGGAATCTGCACTTCAAACAGCCTTCCATGAGTCTAAAACAGGTGATCCCCAGACCACACTTTGGAGAAACCTTGGTCCGGGGTGTTCTGCTAAGGTCCTAATAAAGCTCCAATCACTTGTAAATTCTACGCAGATAAGAGGCCTGGACACAGTAAGTGCACAGTAACTGTGGCTTATTGTTGCTGTTTTTGCTCTTGTTAGTGCAAGAAGGAGGGAGGATCCTAACGATGCTGTCCTCTAGCCCTTCCCACTGGCCCAGACCCCAAGACCTGCCCAGCTGTTGAATTCAGTCTGAAATGGGCTATCAGAGAGGGCAGTTTCACAGGATTAAGAGCGGCAGGTCAAGGCCCAGATCGACTTTCCCCTCAGCCTAGTCCAGTGCCCCCATCGTCTCTCCCTTCTCTAGGGGAGCCTCATACCCCCACCACTGACTCGGCCCCGGGTCCTCCTGGTTTCCCTGGGAGTCACAGTCAGTTGGCTGATAGGGGCTCTGAGACCTTTTCAACTGAGATCAACTCCTCTGGTAGGACAAGGAGGTGGGGACCCAGGTTCACTGTCCAGATTTACATAGGAGCGCCCCCGCCAAGAGGCTGTGGAGGGCTGGGCTACCCTCCTGATCAGTTGTGACAGTGACCCGAACCTCAGTCCCTGGTGGGGAATCAGAGCAGGGGGAATGGGAGAGGAGGGTGTGGAAGTCCCTGGCAGCATAGACTGGAGGGGCACCAAGGGCAAAGAGGGTGACGGGGAGAAAGAATGAAGCTTCCTCCCCAGCAGATGAGGGGCGGGCCATGGGTTCCATCCTCAGGCGCTCCCAGCAGGGACCCCAGGCAGCCTCCTTCCACACAGGGCTGTGACCCTGGCTCCTCTCTCAGGGGTGGCTGGCTGAAATCTGTCCTGGAAAAGGGGTCCAGGATGCCCTAGGCCTGTGCTCCTGACTCAGGAAGCAGGCAGTCCCGAGACTTCAGCCAAACGGGAACCCCTGAAATCCCAGCCCTGAGCAGGGAGAGTGAACACAGCAGGACGGGGGAGGGGAGGAGGAGAGGGAAATGGCAGGGAGGGATCGGAAAGGCAGCTGGGGGAGTTGAAATATGCAGATGGAGAGATGTGCGTGTGTGCGAAAGCCTGGAGAAAGGAAAGACCCGGAGCCCAGGGAATGAGGGAGGCTGGGGAGCGGCCTCAGGAACCACAGTGGAGGATGCCCGGAACACTTGCCTCACTGAGACCCCATCTGACTGGAAGGTGAACTCCAGGGCGAGGGATGCAGGGCTGCGGGGAGAGAGCAGAGGCACCTGCCTCTGAGACTGTGGCATTATGGGGAAGGATAGATCTCCCAGGCCCAGGAGAACACCAGCTTCCTTCTCAGGAGGGTAAAGCTGGAGTGGGTGCCCTCAGCCCGAGGGAGGGTACAGTGTGTGTGCTGGAGGGGGGTACACCCTCGGTGCTCCCCCAGGGCTCTGGGCTGGGGATGGAGGCTCCTCTGTCTCTGACTTGAGACTCTTGCCCTCTGGGTCTTAGATTAGAGACAGGGACACCTGGACATGCTGGGCTCCCTCCCACCTCTCTTCTGTTAGCAGGAACCCCAGGGACCTTGTCTCGGGGTGCTCCTCCCAGCGAGGAGGAGCTGAGGCCAGAGGCAGAGCAAGGCGGCCGCTGTACCACACGACAGCTTGTCTCCCCACGGCCGTGAGTTCCCTCAGCACTTGGAGCAATCTTAGTTTGCACTCCATTAATTTGCAAGAAGCCCGCTTTGTAAGTGTTCTTTTGTCTTCTTCCCCTGGCTGTCCTGACTCTCTCACCGACCTGGGCTCCCAGAGGGGAGGAGCCCCTGCATTGCCCTTCCCCAGGGGAGAAACTGAGGCCGGGGGAGTCTCCTTGACTAGCCTAGCCTAAACGTGCTGGAGCAGGAACCCCAGTTTCGTGTTCGCTCCAGGAGACTCAGCTGGCGTCGTTACACAGCCCTGCCCGTCCTGTCGACCAGTTGTGCTACGCTGAATGGATGTGAGGTTACTAAGTCCTTGAGGGCACAGCCTAGGTCTTGATACTGCTCAGGGTCCCTGAGCTCCACTGCTTCTCTTCCTCAGAAACCCTCTCAGGCACGTCAGAGAAGGACTAACCCAGTACAGGGCTTCCAGAACCAAATAGCCAACCTGTTTCCACCTACCTGAGGGCCTTCTTCAGACTCCAAGCTGAGCCAGACCCATGGCTGCTGGGACCCTGGGAAGATCCCAGGCCAGGAGGTTTAGAACTAGAAAATCCCAGCCAACTTCCCCAGGCTATTTAAGTTCCTAAACTCACCATCCCTCCACTCCACTTCCAGCAAACCCAACTCAGATGCCAAATGGAAAGGCATCACAGATAAAACCCCAGGCCCAGGGTTCGGCAGCCTTGAAGACAGAAGCCCGGCCTTCCTTATTTGCCTGGTGGTCTCCTCTTGTGCACTGGCAGTCATTCACAGTCACTCAGGTTGGGGGAAAGCCTCGGTTCACGAGGCAGCTACGGACTCAAGGGCCGTGGGCACCAGAGCAATTCCTCTCCCAGATCTCCCACATGAGACTGGTTTTCTTGAATCCTGATACTCAACATGTCACACGCTCAGGTCCCTCCCACAACTCCCCCTCTTCCATGAGGAAGAAGGGATCATCTCCCTGGCTGGACTCAGGGCTCCCCGTCAGCAGGTCCCAGTGAGCACACTTTGCTTCCGTCTGGCTAGACTCCTCAATTCCCCACACAACGGACCCACACCCTGCCCAGAAAGCCAGGCTTCCACAGAAATCCTGCCCTGCTCTCAGAGTCAGCGGCAGCCCTTCTCCGGTCTAGTGCTCCCTCCCCTCAAGGTCACCTTGGGTCCATTTACATACTGCCCAGTCCCACATCCAACTGATCCGTGTGTGGGTCATGCCCATCTCTCCTATCAAAATAGAGGCTTCCTGAGACCAGGACCCCAAATCTGCTTCTGTCCTGTCTCCATGCAGGACAAGATGCAAAGACATGCTGATCAGGTGATGTGATTCGAAGCCCTGAAGCCGCCCGCGTGGTAGAAGAGCCCAGCTTTGCACCTGCACTCCCAGCTCCCTCCTGGCTCTGTCATTTCCTATTGGATTCCTACAGGCAGATGACATAACCTCTTTTTGCCTTGTTTTCCTCATCTGTGAAATGGGACTATTCTACTTACCTCTGTACACGACAGCCATACTGTCGTGATGGGTAAATGAGATCACTCACTCATCCGACAAACACTACGCCTCTACTATATGCCAGGAATTGTGCCAGATGCTGCGCAGGGCCATAGATAAAAAGAAGGAACTTGCCTCCACGGAGATGGCATTTTAGTGGACCAGACAGATAACGGACAGCTAGGTAAAGAGTCTCCAATGTTGCTAAGAGCTACGAATACAAATAAGGCAATGGAGGGAAGAGGGAGTCATAGTGCTATGATCCCGAGGGGGTGGTCAGGGAGGAGCTGTCTGAGGAGCTGGCATTTTGGCAGAGACCTGGCTGAGAGGGCAATGGAGTAAACACTTGATAAATATTAGCTGTTATTATAAACCGTACTGTGGGAATAGGGAAGTCCCGCTTTCGAGCCTCAGCTAGAGCACCCCTGAACTTGTCCTTATGCCTTGAGGTGCCCCCTCCCAGGCTGGGCTGCCAGGAGAGGAGGCAGTGCTCCCCGCCTCCCTCCTACCTGCGTGAGCCCGGACTCTGCACCTACGGGCCTGTATTCATCTTGCTGTCTCCACCTAGAACCCTCCTCAGCCCCTTGCCATCCCCCAAGACTCACCCTGACCCTCAGAGCTTGCCCAAACCTACGTGAAGGTCAGCTCTGGTTCCCCCCTTTGGCCCCTCACCTGCCCCTCAAGCAGCATTTCTTCTTCATGATTCAACCTCACACTCATTAAGTAAAAGGATCACGGCATCGTTCCTATGATCGTGTCCCCTTCTAGCTTTATAGTCATGACGACTACACGTTCTCAGAACATGCTTTGGGGGAAGGCAGGGAGGTTAGTACTACTCGGATGTTATAAAGGAGAAACTGAGGCTCAGGCAGGGAGGTTAGTACTACTCGGATGTTATAAAGGAGAAACTGAGGCTCAG